CGGCGGGTGGTGTTGATGAGCGCCGCTGAAGAGGAGGCGGTGGCCGCAGCGGAAGATTTTTTGTTTTTTCCGCCCTTTTCGGCGGATTTTCGCCCACTGGTGCTGGTGCTGCCGGCGCTGCTGTGGCCGCTATTTCCACCGCCGTTGCCGCCGCCGCCCAGTTTGGCGCTTTTGGGGAGGAGAATCTGCAGAAAGCTGAGAATGCGCTCGTGGCTGCTGCTCTGAAGTTTGATGTTGTTGTTGCTGTTGTTGTTGTTTTGAGGGGCGTAAGTAGAAGTATTGTCCACCAGATCCAGACTGTCAAACTGCTCATCCTCCACGATCTCCTCCTCTATCTCCTCCCAGGTTTTCGGCGCTGCTAGTGATTTTGTTGTTGGAGTTGGTTCTCCGAGGGTGGGCTCGCCAGCTGTGCCAGAACTTCCGCCTCCGCCTCCTCCACCTGCCGCCGTCTCCGCCGTCTCCACGGAAGTACTTTTGGTGGCGGCATCACTGCTGAAGGAGGTTCTGCCCGTCGTCGAGGAGGACTCTCGGCGGCCGTAGTAGCTGAACTCGTACTGAGAGTCGGAGGATGTCTGCAAAGCAGAAGAGAACAAAAGAGAAGACAAGATGATCAAAGTGAGGTAGGTGAACAACCCTTTTGTTTTTTGAGTGCTCAGCAGTTTTTAGGTTTACAAATCTGTCTAGTCTAGTCTAGTTTTTCCTTCCTATCTTCCCATCCACTTACCTTTCTAGTGTAGTTCTTCGTACTGCTACTCCGACTGATGAGCTTATTCTTCAGCGCCAGAATGCCGCTTGCCATGGCGCTGGTGTTTGACGGCGTGGCCGTCACTCGTTGATGGTAAATGGTCTTTGTTCTGCCCTTGCTGTTGTTGTTGTTGTTGTTATTATTATTGCTGCTGGCATTGTTTTTGATGTAGCTGCCGCTGCCACTGCCGCTGCTGCTCTGGTTAGCATCCAAGTGGTAATCACCGCTGCTAGACGCCTCCTCTAATTCACCACAGCTAAACTCTTCATTTGTCGATTGCCGATTTGAGGCCGCCGCCATTTTCCCGGCCGAGGTCGAGGAGTCTTCACTGATGCTATTGCTGTTGTTTACTTTACTGTGTGCCGTTTCCTGCTTTGCTGCTGCTGATGATGATGCCAAAGAAGAAGAGGCCAATGGCCCACCGGAGGCTGCAGTCGGCGCTGCCTTATCCAAAGGATGCGAGACCGCCGCTGCTTTATGGCTCCCGTGAAGCTTTAAAGACGGGGCGCCCTCGTTGTTGTTGTTGTTGTTATTGCCGCCATTGCTTTGCCCATTACCGTTGTCGCTGCTTTTACTGCCGCCTTCTATTTCGCACTTGGTCGTCGTCGCCGCGGCCGCCGCCGCCGCCGCCGATAAATGACGATCGCTTTCGGCTGTTGTTTGACTGATGCAGACATTCAGCCCTGACGGGGTGCTTATCTTCCGAGCTGTCGTTTGCTGCTGCTGCTGCTGCTGTTTGATTCGCTTGGCTTTTCGCGTGTCGAGAATGTCGCTCGAGTAGCGGGCCAGCTTTGGGTGCTGCTGCTGCTGCTGTTGCATTGCCGAAGCAGCCGAGGCAGCCGTGCCCACCACCTCATTCTCCAGCATCATGTGCACGTGATTCTTGCGGTAGTTGCTCTGGTAGATGATGGAGTTGCTCTTGAACTGCTTGCCGGGATTGTTGGTAACTCCTGAGGTGCTGATACCTCCGCCTCCCACGCTGCTCGTCACCGAGCGGCGGTGCTTGTTGAAGAGCCCGGTGCTGCTGCTGCTGTGCACTACCGCCGAGTGAGCTGCTGCTGCTGCTCCAGCTCCAGCTCCTCGGGTGGTCGACGGATGTGGTCCACCTCCTTTAATATTCGCCGAGCTTTTGTGGTGCTCTGCTGAGCTGGCTGGTCCCTTGATGAAGAAGAGCGAGCGGACGAGCTGGCCGGCGCTCCAGGCGCTCGTTCGCTGGTCGCTGTCTTCGCCCTCTGAAGACGGCGGCTGCTGCTGTCCTCTGCAAGTTGTCTTCTCCTCTAGGTGACAGTGGCATTTGCAGTGAAGTAATTGCTGCTGCTGCTGCTGAAGAACGACCACCTCTTCCTTGTGCTCATCATTATCCCCCTCCTCCTCCTCCTCCTCATCCTCGTGATGCTCCTTTTTCGTGGTCACCAGCACGGTGGCCACCTTTCCACCACCACCGCCTTCTGAGAAGCACTGCTGCTCCAAAGCTGCTGCTGCCGTCCCTATCGCTTGAGAGCTCAGCGAGTGAATCGACTGCTGGCGAATTTGCTGTGCTGAAACGGTGGTTGCGGTGGTTTTCGCGCCAGCCTTCAGCACTCGAGTCGGTCGATGTCCGCAGACCTTACACGGCTGCTCACGTTTATCACCACCTGATGCCACTACCATTCCCTCTCTAGTTCCTCTTCCTTTCTGCACGACAAAGAAGGTGCCTTCGGGGTTTCTGCCTCCTCCTCCTCCTCCTCCTCGTTTTGCAATCGTCGCACTTCTGGCCACACTTCCACTGGTGAAGCACTTGCAGCGGCCGGTGACCGGCGAGGTGAAGGCCTCCACGCGGCGGTACAGCGTCCCACACTCCTTCTTGAACTGCCGACTGAAGACGGCGTAGAGGAAGGGGTCCATGCTAGGAAGAAGAAGAAGAAGAAGAAGAAGAAGAAGAAGATTAATTTGCTTTATTTGATTTTAAACTTTCCCCACAAGCACACTTACCAGGCATTAAGGGGCAGGACAAAGACGGTGAAGACCTTCGCCTCCTCCAGGCTGATCAGCCGATAGCCGAGGAGGGCGGTGGCGCTGAAGAAGGCAATCGGAGCGTAGCAGGCAAAGTCAGTCGCCACGAGGAGGCCCATTCGCATGGCAATGCGCGTGTCATTGCTGTTCCACGCCTGGGACCCCCTGATGGCGCAGTACATTCGCAGGTAGCAGCCGAGGAGGAGGAGGAAGCTGAGGCCGTTGATGGCCAGCAGGGCGACGACGTACAGCAGCGACCAGGGGCTGTCTTCCGCTTCGAGCGGGAGGCAGACGGCGAACTTTCGGTAGTCGGAGATGCCGAACAGCGGGAGGAGGGCTAGGGCTAGGGCTAGGGCCCATCCGGCGGCCATGATGCTGCTGGCGGCCCGCAGCGAGAGCCGTTTGTTGAGGTGCATCGCGTGGGTGATGGCGTAGTTGCGCTCAAGGGTAATGACCGCCAGCGTGAAGACCGACAGCTCGGTGCTGAGGACGCCGGTGAAGCCGGTCAGCTGGCAGGCGAGGCTGTGCTGCCAGCGGAGGGCGTGGGCGCGGAAGGCGCCCAGCGTGCTGGCGTCGACGAGGGCCAGCGCGCCCAGGTAGACGCCCATCAGCAGGTCGGCGGCGGCGAGGTTGCAGACGAGGAAGCGGGGGACGTCCATCTTTCGCCGGCGGCCGCTGCTTCCGCTTCGGCCCGAGGAGTGTCGCCGACGGCGGCCGAAGATGAGAACGAGGAGAACGGTGCCGTTGCCGAGCAGGGCCAGTGGGAAGACGAGCCAGACGGCGAAGCGCAGCGTCCACCAGTCGAAGAGGTCCTTGCAGGGGGTGAAGGGCCCAGGGCTAGGTAAACAACGGATCAGCGGGGCTTGAGGCGTGGGATGGCCTGGCTGTATGTAAACACGATAGTTTTGATGATGGTGCTCAAAGTGGTGACCACCAGCAGCACCTCCTTCTTCGCCGTCCCAACCGGTGGGCGTTTCGATGGCGGCCAGCAGTTCCTCCTGATTGAAACTCCCACCGCCTCCACCTTCCCCATATTGTTTGGAGATTTGCTGCGTCAGCTCGAAGATCGTTTCATTGAGCTTGCTGGGGTCGGTGTCCTCGGGCCAGAGGATAGAGTCGTTGTAGGAGGAGGAGGGGGAGTGGGGGAAGGAGTTTGTGCCGTCGTGGTTCTGGGAGCTTCTAGTTCGCTGGAGCCGCCCCACAAAGGGACAGCAGTGGTAGGCGTAGGAGAGGGCCAGCGTGGCGACGTAGGGAAAGGCGGCGGCGGGGGGAAAGTCCCGCAGGTGGCGGTTGCCATGGACCTTCAGCTCGAGGAGGTTGCCCAGGCCGGCGGTCGGCAGGGTGGAGAAGAGGTTGTGGCCGAGGTTTCTAGAGAGTTGGGGATTTTTTGTTTAGGAAGTTGATAAGTTGCTTAGTTTTTGATAAGTTTTTCGACTACACTTACATGTCCTGCAGGGCGACCAGCGGCACGAAGGCCGCCCCGTGTATGGCCACAATGCGATTGCCCTCCAGATTGAGCACCTGCAGGCTGCTGAGGCCGGCAAAGGCGGACTGCTCGATGGCCGCGATTTGGTTGTACTGCAGCGACAGATCGATCAGCCTGCCCTGACCTAGCAGGCGATTTGCCCCCAGAGAGGGCAGCTCGTTGTAGCTCAGGTCACTGGGGGGAGGGGGGGGGGAAAGAGGAGGGAGAGAGAGAGATTGATGATTGCCTCGAGGTGACCAAATGGAGAAAGTGAAGTTGAAACGCAAAACTTACAGAACTCGCAGCTCGGTGCAGAGATGAAAGGACGCGGGGAGCTGGCTGATTCGATTCGACTTGAGCACACTTGAGGGAAATTGAGGGAAAGGGAAAGTTGTGCAGATTAGTAGCTGGCTAGTACACTTCTCTCTGATCGATTGCAGTAGCCCTAAACTACTATTTACTTTCTGTTTATTGCCTCCATCGATTTTTGCACATTTTGTTTGTTTGAATATTTTGTTTAGTCTAATAATAATTCATCAGTTCAAATAATGTTCACATACAGACTCTTGGCAGTGCCGCCCACCTGGCGGCAGAGGGCGCCGTCGATGCTGGTCAGCTGACTGCGGTCCACCTTGATGTGCTCCAGTGAGTCGCAGTTGGCCAGCGAGGGCGTGTGCTCTTGGTGCTCTAGAGAAGATAGGTAACTGGTAAAAAATAAAAAATTTTTATTTTTAATTTTGATGTAAAGAAAGTAAAAGCAATTAGTTACAGTCGCCGCAGGTGTCGCAGGTTGATGAAGGCCCGGGAGTGGACGCCCAGCAGCGGATTTTCCGACAGGTCAAATTTGACCAGTTGAGAGGAAGTTGCGGTAGTGGTTTTAGAGGAGCCATTGACCCTACCAGTGCCACCACCGTTGAAGGCCTCTTCGGGGATCCAGGAGATCTGGTTTTGGCGTAGGTTTCTGTATATTTATTGCAAAGGGACAGAGTAAGAGTTATTAGAACAAATCACTGAACTTCGATGCACTTTAGCTTATTAATTTGCACTTTAATTCTATTTTATTGCACAGTCTGAGCAGACTGTCCATTTGTGGCTTACAAAGTACAAGAGCAATCTTCTAAACTAAAAGATCTCTACCACTTTTTTTCCTCCAGTTATTGATGATATTAAGAGAAAAGAGCGAGAGAGTTATATTCCATTTGTGTCGATTTCATTTGAGCCACTCCATTCAGCCATTTCATTGCTGCTGCTGCTGTGATGTTTAATGACACTGCACTACAGTAATATTTTTAATGCCGTCCTTTTGATTCAATGGCACAAAACACACACACACTGAACATCTAAGCACTTTGTTCTTGTGCAATTTAGAAGTGGGGGCTAAAATTGCACTGCAAATTGCAGCAGCAGCAGCACTACGGTGCATGAACACAGACACTTACACTTCGGCCAGTTGATTCAGCAGTGCAGGCTGCAGTTGATGGCTGGGAAAGACTTTCAATTGGTTGCCGCTGAGGTCTCTGTGTTTGTAGGGAAGAACAGAGGATGGAGAAAAGAAAGGGAATAGGGGGATAAAGCAGTCGATTAGGTGCAATCAAGAATCAGTGGCAACACCGAACGAGAAAGAGAAAGAAAGTGTGTGTGATTTAATTTGAGTGAAAGTGTGCTGCTAGTGCACTCGGCACTAGTGCATTTGCACTTACTATTTCCTTTGCACTAAAAGTGTACTTACAGTGTAAACAGCCTGCTCAGACCTCGGAAGCAGTTCGGCTCCAGACGGGAGAGGCGATTGAAGGCGAGATTTCTGGAAAAAGAAGAGGAAAGAGAACATATTTGCAAATGCTGTTTACAGTGCTGTGCCCCTAGCTGAATTGAGCAAAGACAACAACAACGACAGCACAAAATCAGCCAGTCCCCACTTACAGGTGCTCCAGTGAATGCAGTGCAGAGAAGGTGTCGTTGAGTAGCTCGGTCAGGCGATTGCCGTCCAGGTGTAGACGACGAAGACTGCTGTGCTGAAATTCAGTTATTGATTCAAAGTGGTGCCGGTGCAGGGTGCTGATTTCATTGGAGCTGAGTATTCTGATTGAGAAGGAGAGGGAAAAAGGTGAAAAAGAAAAAGTTTAGTTTTGAGTGCTCCAGGATTTACAGGTTTTAGTTATGATACAACAAAAAATGATGCAAAAATGAGGTTGTGTTTAGTCTCGTGGCATCGATTTATTGCAGCAGCAGCAGCAGCAGAAAGGCATCTGCCCCATCATCAATCTTCTTAATTTCTTTGTTCCCATGCTCATTTGACTGCCGACAGTGGTTGTCACCACTACTCTTTGCTTACACACACACTTGACTTTATGCTCGTTCAGAGCTCTCTCTCCCTCTCAACTCAATCGTTTGTATCGATTTCTTTTCTGCCGCCGTCTGTCTCTCAATTCGGATAATGAATCGATCTCCGTTTTTTNTTGACTTTATGCTCGTTCAGAGCTCTCTCTCCCTCAACTCAATCGTTTGTATCGATTTCTTTTTCTGCCGCCGTCTGTCTCTTAATTCGGATAATGAATCGATCTCCGTTTTTTGTGCAGTTTGGCACACTGCTCACACGTTCTCTCTCAGTCTGGTCACTGACCACTGAGAGAGAATGTGTTCTTTNACTTGACTTTATGCTCGTTCAGAGCTCTCTCTCCCTCTCAACTCAATCGTTTGTATCGATTTCTTTTCTGCCGCCGTCTGTCTCTCAATTCGGATAATGAATCGATCTCCGTTTTTTGTGCAGTTTGGCACACTGCTCACACGTTCTCTCTCAGTCTGGTCACTGACCACTGAGAGAGAATGTGTTCTTTCAGCCAGTCAGTCTGCTCAGTCTGCCTAACTGAATGAAAAGGCCCCGAGTGAATGATTGCCCCTTTGTTCCTCTTTGTTTTGGTGTCTCACATTCACATTCGCATTCACAATCGAAAACAGAGAGAGCAGACAGAAAGAGCTGAACACTCTTGTTCAACAGACAAGACCAAGAGTTCTTGAGATGCTCACATTTACATTGTTGATTTTTACTCTTTCTTCTTCTTCTTCTTCTTCTTTTTCAGTTGATTTATTGCCGAAAACAGTTGGCTAGTCTAGTCAGCTCCTCCTGTCAAAGTCATCTTCTTTTCTTTTCCTTCCCGTATGCTGGTCATTGGCTTTTTTTCGGGAACGTGTTTACAATGTTTTTTCTTCATTTTTAAAAACTGATGCAAACTTAAGTCAATTGTGTACTTGAAGTAGCGGCAGTGTATCAAAATGCTGGCTAGCACTGAAGAGCTCTGAAGAGCAGTACTGATGAGTGCCTTTTTAAGAACAAAGCAGCAGGCACTTCAAAACACACACACACACTTTCTCTTAAAAAGAAGCCGCAGAAGTAGCAGTTTGTTTGTGCTTCTGTCTCTTCTTTTTCAGAAGAAAAAGAAGGAGTCTCAAATATAAAGGCAAATATTGATCTTTTCGCTGTCTGTCTGTGCTGTTGTAAGCCGCCAAAAAGTCGACAATGTAGCGGCACTGTTAGTTGCTGCTGGTAGTTGCTTTCACTAATCAAATTAGCAGCAGCGAAAACAGCACCGAGCAGTTTGGGTCAGTGGTGATGTGTGGTGCACCACCACCACCACCACCACCACAAAGACCAAATTGTGGTCAAAGTTTTGACACATGGCACACATTTAGAAGCGAGGCTTCATTTTACTGTCCACTGTCTATTTTTCAGTGTGTCTTACATAAATTATCCATCTTCCCTTCCCCCTTTCCCCTTCTCTCCTCACAATTGGCCCACTTAATATCTGCACTTTCTCCCACTTCTTTCTTTTTTTCTACATTTTGTCTGTTTAATTGACTGCTGTCAGGAGGCGCTGTGGAATGTTGTGGCTTCTCTTTTACATCTAATGTTTCCCACATTGTCACACAGAGAGAGAGAGAGAGAGAGTCGCCCGTTTACACGGACCCTCACTTGCTTGCACTTCCCACTGACTGTTTTTTTCACTAGTCAAATTGTGTTCTCTTTGGGGGCTGGTTTTTCTGTTTTCCCGCTTGTTTTTGGCTTGTTCTCTGTTCCCCTGCTTTGCTTTGCCCCTTGCCGGCTAATCTAATTACACGACAGAGCAACTCTTTTCTTCTTTTTCTTCTTCCTCTTTCTTTCTTTCTTTAAAAAGTGAGTGTCCCTTTGTGTGCTGCGATACTATAGATTACTGACAGGGTTCAAGTAGTTGTAGAATCAGTAGTAGTAATAGTAATCTGACCCCAATGGGAGGCGATTTTTAGCAGAGTCAAGTAGCGAGCAAGAAAAAGAGTATTCGCCATCGATTTGGATACTAACTCTTCTCTAGTTGACTTTTACTGTTCTTTCTTCTTTCTTTTTCTTATCTCTTTTCCACTCTCTTTCCTTCTTCCTTCTCCTCTGTT